AAAATCTGATTTTCATTTTAGGGCATGACGGAGAGTGATGTTTGGGGCCACACCACGGACGGAGCGCTTACCCGTGACCAAATATTCTACATCAATCCTACAGAGAAGTAACTGGAGTCTACGTCAGTGGAGAGATTCCTGGCTATCTTCTCAGGTTTCCGCAAATCATCTCCTCTAAATGTGGGGAATGTCACATAATAGGTCTACTACTACTGCTGGAAACTGTTCGAAGATTCTCATTTGGAGTGGAAGAATGGGTTGATCAGCGCACGGTTAGCCAATTAGCACTCTAAAACGAAGTAAAGATCGTGAAATTCGAAAAAAAAACATTCATTCAATCTCACCATATGGTGGACCGGTTGGGTACGTGGCGTATTCTGAGGGTGTTGAGATCCATGTTTCTGTGGGATGATCAGGCTGCATAGGAGGACTTATATGCGCATCACATACAAAGTATATTCATTACTTCTCGGGATGGAGGTCGAGTGCATGGCGCAATCCTAGATGGAGCTCTTTCAGAAATTGAATTTAACCATCTTGTAGATCTCGAGCAGAGCTATCAGATGGTATAAACTGCAGGTCGAGCGAACCATTTTTTAAAGAGTTATGGCGAGCCGACGGTTTGCGACGGTTTCCGACCGTCGCAAACCGTCGATTGAACAAAAATTAGTAGCGGTATTGTAGTTATTGCAAAAAAAAGGAGATGAGCACTGTTTATGAGCTTCTAAAGGCTTGACTCCTGGAACAGCCAATACGAAACTCCTCTTTGAATACCCTTAGGTACGTTTGAAGACGCAGCAACTGCGTAATATTCACATCTATTACGGTTGTATGTGGACTTTCCGGTAGGGAATTCCTTTAACACCTTGGAGCCCACGCAGCCCATATGTGGGCTGCAGTCCTCCGACCGCATAGGACCTTTCAGCTCGCATTTCGTAAACAATTATTAGGTTTTTCATTCATTTTCTTTTCCATTTTATCCGATAAGATTTCTTCTGCATTATACAGTGGGTTCTTCTTTTGAATTTGCTAGATAAGATCCCTAAAAATTTCACCGAAGTCCCGCGCGGCCGCGGAACGTAAAACACGCGCGGTCTCCAAAGTGTTTAAGGAGTCACACTGGTCGGGCTGTACGCGGCGGTCCGGACGCGCAGAACCACGAACTATGCTGCGAAGCTGCGCCAAACAAAGGGGAAGCCAGAGTACGGAGCGCCCACAGGGTCAATGGACTACTTAAACTCGCTCCTTCGAGCCGTCTCAGATCCGTCCCTCGTCCATGCTCTCTGGCCTTATCGGCGGCTCGTGACCATTGAAATCTCACCCATTCAAGCTTTCCAACACTTGTGGTAGGGTGCCTACCTCGGATTCTCTTCCCCCTACAAAGCTTAGCCGTAGGGCTTTCACATTCGGAGTCTTTTCACCGCCACACGTCACTGAAGATCGCAGGTGCTCTACCGGGAATGGACGTAAGCTACGGTGAGCAGTAGGTAGGCTGGTTCCGTATTGACCGTAGCGCTTCTTGTATACATTCATTTGTAGTGTCTTCTCGTTTCAGATATGAATCCATGTGTTTTCATTTCTTGTTTTGTGTAACAATATCTGGTGCGAGTTTACACCGCAGCGTACCTACGTTACATGTATTGGGTTGGAGCATAATATCGTAGCGCTTGCATTTTTCATTTCTTCACACAAACATTTGAAGCAAAAAATAAAAACATAAAACTAATCAGTGATCTTCACTTCGTCATTATTTACAACTTTGATTGCATTTCGCAGAGATCACCGGATATAGAATTTCAAAAAAATATTGAGCTCATTTTCGGGGTCCTTCTTATTCTCAATTTGTACGAAATTAATAGGGTTCTGATTAAGCGAAAATAGGTGGGGTCGGATAGAGCAAGGTTTGTTAGAAGAATGGATTCGAAAGAACTTCCAATTTGGCGTTTTTCTTCTTTTTTGAACCGAGAAATAGCAGCTGTCGAAACGCCGATTTTTGCCGTCTGGATTTTCCAACTTCTAAGCTCTATACCTGAGTACAGCTACAATTTTGAAGAAAATGACAACACGGTTTTGTAGAGCGAGAAGAGTACTTTCAAATAGTATGAGCAGTTTTTTGGATGATACTTGTACTGGCTGGATTTGTACGCTCAAAAAATACGCTACGATATTAATGCTCCAACCCAATACTAGTCGTGTAAAGTATAGTGAAGGCCGTAGGCCGGGTTAGGAAAAACCATCGTGGACCATAGGAACAAAAAGGACAAAATCATTAGGCATAGTTGAAGGCAAGGTAAACCTGCAACAGGTCTTATTTGTCGTAGTATTAGGTTGTCTCATAAGTAGTGTCGCTTTTTTTCAAACCAAAAATTTTCATCTAAATCCCCATGCTTTTACATCATGTCATATACCATTCGAAAGAGAATTGTCTGCTCTACAAGATGCTATGTTCCTCTTCCACCTCTGTTCCAGGGTTTTCAAAAATTTTAGGCCTGCGAAATGGGAGGTCCAGCCGACAAAAATTGACCAAACCGACAACTAGCTCTAACTTTATCTTCCCCGGAGAAATCAATCAATGATGTACCCTCTACTTATACATGACCTCTTCTAAACATTACACTATTAGGTTTCCCAAGTCGTTCCATTTCCAGACCTGGTTTTTCAACCAGAACTCGACGGTCGAGCACCATTACCTGAGATCTAGGTCGAAATTTTTTTACAGCCGAGACATTGAAAAACTAGTAGAATTTAAAGAACAAGTCATGACTAAGTTAGGAATGTACGCCTGGTTGATTTTCTCATCTTCTCAGGGATAATTTTTTTCAAAGAAATGCGGTCACTTTCGTGGAAAACACCTTAACACCTAAAATTCGAACTAATTCCCAACAAACATAAAACAAAACAAATGAGCGAATAGAGCAGAAGAAGTGCTCACAAAAGGAACACCACTTGATATAAAACAATAGCGTTTCAGAGGAAGAATTTCAATTTGAAAATTGCTATGGCTTATCGGTCAGCCAATTCGAAAAGAAACACGGCAAAGCTTTTTCGGCAACCTAAGGGTGGAATGTTCAGAAGAGGTCATGAGTAAGTAGAGGGTACATCATTGATTGATTTCTCCCAAGGGAAGATAAAGTTAGAGCTAGTTGTCGGTTTGGTCAATTTTTGTCGGCTGGACCTCCCATTTCGCAGGCCTAAAATTTGAAAACCCTGGAACAAGGTGGAAGAGAACATAGCATCTTGTAGAGCAGACAATTCTCTTTCGAATGGTATATGACACGGTGTAAAAGCATGGGGATTTAGATGAAAATTTTTTGGTTGAAAAAAAAAGCGACACTACTTATGAGACAACCTCGGAGCTGCTAGCGCCTGCATGGGCAACCTGCGTGGCGTAGTGGCGGGCAGCAAATGCGGCGCAGAACCCCGATCGTAAACCCTGAGGCCGACCCTGTCGCAGCTCCTTTGTCGATAGAACCTCGATGCTCATGCGAAAGGCGGGGAGCACGGCGCTTGGGTCAGCGCGACATAGGGTGTCCCAAAAGATCGTGACAGTTTTGCACATTGTTTGAGTCACCACTGTTTCAGCAAAAGTAATCTCTATCATCACCATATGGAAAGTCTCTATCAGTAACTTTGTGACTGTCACCCGTGAGGATTGGCTTCCTTGGGAGAACACAGCAGTTCCAAGTTGGACACACATCGCGTTACAGGATCGTAAGTTCCGCAATACTATAAGGAAATGTATCGCAATGAAAAGTCACTCCTGGATTCGACAGGTGCTTGGTGGTTCATAAATTGAGAGGTGAAAATTAAGGTCTTCTTCTTTTCCATTTTAAAACAAAGAAAGCAGCTAAGACGAACATGATTCGGTCATAGGTCACCTCGCGTCGCCTCTTCGTGGCGTGCTCGAATATATACATATATACAGGGGTGGCCAAAAAAAAGAGACACTTCACTAAGTTCAGCCAGCATTAATCACACTTTGCTAGAATCAAATCGACTGAACCCAACTTAGTATTAAAGAGCACACTCTAAATTACGTGACAGCCTTCTGCACCGACTACATCAGAAGATTTTCCCACGGAAACATGGTTCACGGTACGAGCTCAACGAGGTCGTCGAGGTACCATAGACCATTACGACGTCCCCGAAACGCTGGTCAAAAGCGGTCTTGCACAGTCACAGCTAGTGTCTCCTAGAAGCTATTCACCATTAATCAATTGAAGAAATCATGTAGCAGCTTCAGGCCGGAGCGATTACGGTAAGCCTCGTTGAGCTCGACGGTGACGGACAGATGACGTCATATTCTGAAGACGGTGGAGGCAGTGAAAAGGGCCTGCTTCTGCTTACGTGGGAACATCTTAGGAATATTCCGCCATAAAACTTCATTAACATCGGCGCCCTGTGCGACGAAAAGTTCGATGATGTGCGCCATAGGCAAAGTGTCTCTTTTTTTGGCCACCCCTGTATATATATATATATATATATATATATATATATATATATATATATATATATATATATATATATATATATATATATATATATATATATATATATATATATATATATATATATATATATATATATATATATATATATATATATATTATATATAGGGGTGGGCAAAAACATCGCTAAATACTTTTGGACTGAGATTCAAAAGCGTGACCCCAACCTTTGGAGACACCATAGTATGTGTAGAATGAACATGCACCTGAAATCCGGCTATAGTCATCTGCTCAATAACTCTGGATATAAATATGGTGAGGTTGAGATTCTCCTGCTCACGGCATCGCGTTTCGAATTTTTCGTAACCTGAAACAATACGAGGATCACTCAGTTGGATTCTAAATTTGAGGTTCCCTTCACAGGCTCAGCGCAGCAGAAAAACTTCTTTTGCTCAAATTTCCAGGTCCTATTTTTAGTTTTTCATGGCACTAACTCGGTGTGATTTCTATGGTCATGGAAGAGCCATAGTATGCTTAATGCAATTATGCACCTGAGGGCAACTGTGTGACTACGAGCGTAAAACAACGGAAACTGAAGAGCGTTGCGCCAATGAACAGAAAGCGGCGAGCAACGATGGCTCGGAACTTGTGAAAAATAAGAAGAAAGCAGAAACTGGCGAAAGAAGCCTTCACGAAGCAGTGAGACAAAGAGTAGGCCCATTCATGCTCGGGAAACACCGAGTGCAGGACGTCCGGCAAGGGCTGCCTGAAAACCATCTTCTTGAGAACCAGGTCATTTCAACGAAATAATAGATCAAGTTTTCTGTAAACACCATATTGATTCACTATTTCAGTTGGCAGTTGGGATCCTTTCAAAAGATTCTGGAACTTTTATCATTCACTGACATTTAATATATCCTGATGTACGCCAGAAAACGTCTTTTCGAATGGGTGCTCATAAATTGTGCAAGATATCTATTAGCACAGCATCAATATCACAAAAGTGAGCGATATTTCTTATCGTCCAACCCTAATACTATATCATTGTCCATTTCTATATATATTTCTAGCCACATTAGTTTTGTATGATCACTTTATCCTGTTACCGTAATTTTGTTCAACCAGTGAAAAACGCCACGTGGTTCAATATTCTACTATATATTTTGAGCGTCGGGGCGGAAGTGGTGTAGTGGCAAGTGGCACGCTTACCACGCGAGCGGTCCGGGGATCAAATCCTGGGTCGTGAGTCGCCCGGGCCAACCAAGCCTTCCATCCCTCCGGGGTCGGTTAATTGGTACCAGACTTGTCTGGGAGGATAAAAACACTGACTTGTACATCGGCTGGCCCCCGCAAGTCATTGTATAGGCCACATCGCATTCAAACGCCACTACGAATGTACAAATGGAAGTAGAATGCGTGCCGCATCCCAAAAGGGATTGATCAACGGCAAATGCTTTATCCTTTTTTTATTTTAAGCGTCGTGGGTGTGTCTCGAAATTTCGCACCACCTGAAGAGCCACCTATGAGAACCTTGGCCATGTTGTCATGTTGGATGGGTCATAAGCCAAGATGACACAAAAAAACACTTCTTAGATTCCCGATTAGGGGCATTCAATGAGTTGTGTGTTTTGTGCAGTGTTGGGGCGCGTTTTGATGAGGTTGGCAACGGCAAGTATCCCTAGTTTGGTTGCAGTTAAGAGAATCGAAAATTGGGTTAAGTTGTGCACCTAATTGGCCAGTCGAATCAAGTTATTGACTTGCTGTTGATGGGTGGGGAGTGCATCGAAGTGGGCGGAGCTCGCCACAAGACGTCACAATTTGGTTCCGAGATGCGCTGAGGTGGACGGTATCGAAATTAAAATTTCGAGTGGGCTGTCCAATAGCGCTGAACCCCTGTGCAACTCTCGCACTAGTCAAGCTGTTACTATTTAAGCCCTGATATGATGACAATTGTGTCTAAAGGACCTTATAAAAGTAGTTCGTCGGAAAGGAAAAATCGTTTTCAGGAAATACGCCGGAAGGCCAATAAATTAAACAAAACAGTGAGCTTGAGCAAAGATAGATAAACAGAAGATACGTGCTGTACCTGACCACAAAGTCGTGTATGTAGGCGTGCACGACGGTGTTACTGAGGCTGGCAATGAAGGAATACACAAATAAAAAGAGCCACTTGTTCAATTGACATTGCGATGCAACAGCCGTCGATTTGGTGTTGGCATCATCACGTCGGGTACGTTGTCGCCGTCCCCGTCGTTTCTGAAATATGGTAGTCGCTGCCGAATACAGCCTTTCGTGGGATCCTTATTCGGGCCAACACTAAAAAAAGACTTAAAAATGTTGCGATGAAGGAACACCCATATAGAACCTCTCTCGTGGAGTTTTCAAGATATTGAGATGCGCACTTTTGCGAGTGCGACAGAGCTCCTTATTTATAACAGAATCCCCTAGCTTGTATGGGTGATTCGTCTGTGGAAACGTCACCGACAAGGACGGTTAATTACCCGTTTCCACACTGCATACAGGTGAGAACTGCTCTAACCTGATTTACTCCCTAATGAAATAATCTTTGAAACCCACTAACAGCCGGTACCTTTGTGCCGTGCTATTGGACTAACTTGAGTAATAACTTACTGGAAGTACCTTATATGCATAGTAGATCTTCGCTCGATTGCTCGGTATAAGCTGTTTGGATCCGCCAATGTCGCAGAGCTTATCTGGGCGAGCGGTTTTGCAACGCATACCTGGTCGGAAAGATGTCGGGAAAGTCATCTACCACAAACACACCGATGAATTAGAGGCACAGAATGCAAACCTAAACATCAACATCATGACTGGTACGAAAGCTAGAAGATCTGTTGTAACAGATTCACTGTTCTCGCTGATTCTGTTCAGTGTATTCAGTGTATGGAGACGAGGCTTCGGGAAATTTCTCGAAATTCTCGAATCATGGTGAAGTGAGAAGTTCAACATAACATTTATTACGTAGACGATGGCAACTTAAAGAAGTGGTGTAATCGAGAAGCAGACACTTGCAGGCAGATATTCATTTTAAGACCAAAAGGAATATTGGGATATCAACTTTCCACAATCACACAGCAATTAAACAATAAAATCATTAAGAAGCAGTCGTAAATTATTTGCTGTAGTGGTAGTTAATTTGTTAGATATTCATTCGCTCTTGGATGCTGCTGTGTGCCTCAAACGATGCATATGCATGTTCGCATTTAAGGTACGTGTGTTCCATAGCACCTAGATGACCAGCAAATTGGCAAGGCACGGAGTCGGTTGATTTGCTTCGCACCCCCCCCCCTCCTCCTCCACCCCACACCATATCGGCAACACTGCTTGTTCAACTCGATCTTTATTCATTCTCTACTTCCCATTTTCCAGACACCCTATTTACGAATGGAGAAACCTCGACAAACCTCTTGCACTTCCGATACAACCCCATCCTAAAAGAAGCGGAATACCGAATTCTGGATCATGGATTTTACTAGACACACTTGTCTTGATGCCCAGTGAATTGCGATGAGGAGAACAGTTTCTACAAGCAGTTGACGGCAACCGAGAAGAAATTGATCGTGTGCTTGATCATATGAGCGAGCCCACATCCACTGGCCTTTAGGTGGCCAACACACGGACAACGGCCTGATCGAATTGAAGCGCAAGAGCGATTTCTCTACAATGAGAAAGCTTGTAAAAAATGAAACGAGATGAGAGAAAATGGCTTAATTCAGGTGAAGGAATATGTTGCGATCGCAAAACGTGTTTTGAACAGGCAAGCCGGAACATGACCACAGATCCATTTTCGAACGCCTTGATGTGTCTTCGTGTCTGAAAAAGTGAACTGTGTTCCTTTAGTAAATGATCGATTTCATCAGGCTTCGAATGTCTAAACACCAACGTGCACATCAGTCTAGGAAACTCTCGCCGGATCTGGGTCCTACTTGTAACGTGCGTGGGAGGAACTAATCGTGAAAGTAGGTGATGAGCACAGTGATGGAAGGGAGCGTAACGCTGTAGAAAACGAGGGATGACTAGGTTTACTATGTGCGACCTGTAACTGCTACAATACTTGAGTTTCTTACAAAAGGTTGTCATCGCGCAACATCTTTCAATGGATTCTATGACTTTGAGCCGAGAATTATGTTTAAGAAATGCATTCTAACGACATTACGGAGATAAAGTAAAAGAAAAGTAAAATTATAAAATAAGATAATTTGCCAGCTTGCAATGTTGAAGAAGGAGGCGACTTTTTTAGTGGGCAAAAGTGCTCGACAGATTTTTGATGCAAAGATCTTCGCAAATAGATCCATTGATGTATTGGCTATTGAATAACTGACGGTTTTTCAATTGTTTGACTGACTAAGGGACTTGGCATTACCTTCAACTGATGATAGCCAAACTCGAACGATGCATCCTTTTTTCTGGGAAAGGAGGAAGAGTTGCTAGTCCGCAAGTGCTGAGGACTGGTTGAGTTCTGCTCCTTTTACACCATATCTCTTAAAGCGAGGGATTCACGATAAAATTGGACATGTTCAAGTGGGGGATGCTGAATAATGCCCCAGTGGCGAAAAAAGCAAAGAAATCCGTCAAAAACGCGCAAAATGGGACCCCTTTCTTTGCCCGTTGACCTCCGATAATGGACGAGCTAGCAACCAATCTAGAGGTTTTGCTGAGCTCAGAAAGGAATGGGAAGTACGCTGCCGCTAGAGCACCTTCGGCCACAAAACGCCACATTTCGCTTCCTTCCGGCCCCTGACTACTGCTTCCACTGGTGCATGTACTTCCACGCTGCACACACACTATCGTAATCTCTCGCTTTGGGTTGAAGTCATTTTTGAATGTTTTCAAGATGTCATTTTCGAGAACTAGAGGTGGGTCTATGAAAATATCATTGACACGACCCAAGAGTAATGTGCGTGCAAAGAACTTCACTCATAGAGCCGGTAGTGATTATTTAAACATTGCAAAAAATATACCTGCTACTTTAACGCAATTCAAGCGTCTAGGCCTTGTTTTTTTCCTAGGGATCTTTTCTCCTATCACGTGCTTGTCTCGCACATCTTCACTTCAGGGTCGCCTTCTCAGTCGTATGGGTAGTCTGTACCAGCCTTTCCTTCCTTTTTTCTTCTGATAATTGCTCTGATTTCGCACACAGATAAAATCATGAAGCATTTGCCGTTGATCAATCCCTTTTTGGGATGCGGCACGCATTCTACTTCCATTTGTACATTCGTAGTGGCGTTTGAATGCGATGTGGCCTATACAATGACTTGCGGGGGCCAGCCGATGTACAAGTCAGTGTTTTTATCCTCCCAGACAAGTCTGGTACCAATTAACCGACCCCGGAGGGATGGGAAGGCTTGGTTGGCCCGGCGACTCACGACCCAGGATTTGATCCCCGGACCGCTCGCGTGGTAAGCGTGCCACTTGCCACTACACCACTTCCGCCCCTGGACGTATAGATGAATAAATAAATAGGCCATTCGAAAGTAAGCCAGACAGTATTCTATAGAAAGAGACAATCTTCCGCTTTTTGGACTATTTTTCTCTTTTCAAATCCTCAATTTTCAGCATCCCCGACTCTGACTCGGTGCAGTTCGAAAGACACTGTGTCTCATAGTGGAAGGCTTTCAGGGCAGTTCCAATACTGCTTAATATCTGTTGACCTAGTTTTACCTAACATAAGTCTACTACATCCTACAAGGGGGTTTTAGGGGGTGGGGGGGGGAGGAAGGGGTACCTCTGAGACAGTGATTTTCATGGTTTCTGGTAAATTACAGGACTGCGGAAGCAGAATATGTGAATAAATTCGTACAAGAGCCACCCTTCCCTCCCCTGAGTGATGATTGTAATAGCTTCTCGCATCATATTCGCGTTGACCTACAATTTTCAAAGAAGATGTATCAAATTGTGTCAAGGCCAAGTGTATGAGTCGCTATTTGTTACAGATAAAAGATGTGCTTTGCAGCCACGTGAGGCTTTGAAAAAGTGTCGTAATGTTGGAGAATTGAATATGTTTCCCAGTGGTTGATATTCCCTTCGTTTACTCCGTAGACGTGTTGCTGAACCTAGGAGTTCAGGGCGTATCAGTACTAGTTATTAGGTTGTCTCATAAAGTAGTGTCGCTTTTTTTCAACCAAAAATTTTCATCTAAATCCTCCATGCTTTTACATCAGTCATATACCATTCGAAAGAGAATTGTCTGCTCTACAAAATGCTATGTTTTTCTTCCACTGTTTCCAGGGTTTTTCAAATTTTAGGCCTGCGAAATGGGAGGTCCAGCCGACAAAAATTGACCAAACCGACAACTAGCTCTAACTTTATCTTCCCTTCGGAGAAATCAATCAATGATGTACCCTCTACTTACTCATGACCTCTTCTGAACATTCCACCCTTAGGTTGCCGAAAAAGTTTGCCGTGTTTCTTTTCGAATTGGCTGACCGATAAGCCATAGCAATTTTCAAATTGAAATTCTTCCTCTGAAACGCATTGTTTTATATCAAGTGGTGTATCTTTTGTGAGCACTTCTTCTGCTCTATTCGCTCATTTGTTTTGTTTTTATGTTTGAATTAGTTCGAATTTTAGGCTCAAGCGGTAAGGTGTTTCGTCCTTTAAAAAATATCCCGAGAAGATGAGAAAATCAACCAGGCGTACATTCCTAACTTAGTCATGACTTGTTCTTGAAATTCTACTAGTTTTTCAATGTCTCGGCTGTAAAAAATTTCGACCTAGATCTCAGGTAATGGTGCTCGACCGTCGAGTTCTGGTTGAAAAACCAGGTCTGGAAAAGGAAGCGATGCGACTTGTTGGGAAACC